GTTGGTTAAATATCACTCATAATAATACTCCATTTTGTTTCATCAGCCTTTTTAATAATGTTATTTACAGTACAGTAGTGAACAAAGGTTAAACTTATCGTCTAAGGGCTTAAAATTTCACCTTTACTGGATAAGTTGTGTTGAACAGAGATGAACTCTCATTTACTATAATTTGTGCATCAATACTTGTCAACTGTGTACGTCTGTCTTTATTTACACGCGACGTAAGTTTTATCACAAGTACGTACATTAACGCAGGTAGTAAATGATCTTGGTAAAGTAGTACAGTGGTGGTAGACCATTTGTTATAGTCAAGGTGTTGTCATTATCTCACGGAAACTCTTCAATCTCTGTTGAAATTGTACGTAAATATTTGATGAGTTTTGCTCAACTCTGACGAGATATTTTGATATTTTATCTTGACTAAAATGGTTGGTAGTTTTGATTCATGTTTTAAATATATTCTTTCATCACTTATAGATATATGGTACCATTGTCTGGTAAATAATGGGTAGGGTTCATATATAGTAGCTGGTGTTATGGGGCAGATGAACTTTAACACCTCTTAACTGTATATAATATCATGTTTAATATATTGTTCAGTTAGCATCTTGTGCCTTAGTTAGGTAACTCTTCTTGGTTATATATCAATTCATCCTTGGGCAGTCATTTTCTTAAAGTAGCCAATGCTGAAATGCCAAACTCTGGGTTAAAAATTTGTTTTTTGATCATGTTAAGCAGAAGACTTGGTTAAATTAACATACAGTATTTAGATATTTGCTGTTCTTATATACAACTTTTCCTAATAGTACTGGCATGTGTTTATCTAACAATGGTATTTAAAAAAATCATTGCTACAAGAATGGCATTAATTTTGTGGACATGAATATAGAGTTTTATGTAAATACTGTGTACTGCATACATTAGTACAGGTCCCTATAATCTCTTGTGACTCTTATTACAGCTGCATAACGTTCACACTCACCGCACTAAGGGAGTATCTAAGTTTTCTATTGGGTAGTGTCACAGTAAACACTCTGAAGGGGTAATTTGTATGTTGTATTATACCAGTGTCTGTGTATATAATGTGAAGTGTGTGTACTGATAGTATTAAGGGAGAACTCAAGGCACTGTTGTATGTTGTATTATACCAGTGTCTGTGTATATAATGTTAAGTGTGTACTGATAGTATTAAGGTCAGTTATTTTGTATGGAGAAGAAGAGACCTTTATTTATGGGAGAAGGTCAGTTATGTTTGTGTGGTGCTGTGACCTTAATTGCTTGGGGAAGGTCAACTATTTTTGTATTGTCACAGAGTGCAGTATTTTGATTATGTCTAAAATAATTAGATAAAACTACTGGTTGGTGTTTCACCCTTCCTTCCACCCTCAACTTTGATTAATGAAAAACACAAACTCTCACTGCTAGACTAAATTCACACTGCTAGACTAAACTCACACTGCTAGACCAAACTCACACTGCTAGACTAAATTCACACTGCAAGACTAAACTCACTGCTAGACCAAACTCACACTGCTAGACTAAACTCACACTGCTAGACTGAACTCACACTGCTAGACTAAACTCACACTGCTAGACTGAACTCACACTGCTAGACTGAACTCACACTGCTAGACCAAACTCACACTGCTAGACCAAACTCACACTGCTAGACTGAACTCACACTGCTTCAGTAGACTAAACTCACACTGCTAGACCAAACTCGCACTGCTAGACTAACCTCATACTGCTAGACTAAACTCACACTGCTTTAGTAGACTAAACTCACACTGCTAGACCAAACTCACACTGCTAGACTAAACTCACACTGCTAGACTGAACTCACACTGCTAGGCTGAACTCACACTGCTAGACCAAACTCATACTGCTAGACCAAACTCACACTGCTAGACTAAACTCACACTGCTTCAGTAGACCAAACTCACACTGCTAGACTAAACTCACACTGCTATACTAAACTCACACTGCTATACTAAACTCACACTGCTAACTAAACTCACACTGCTAGACTAAACTCACACTGCTAGACTAAACTCACACTGCTAGACTAAACTCACACTTCTAGACTAACTCACACTGCTAGACTTCTTTGCCAGCTCCCCAAAGAACAACTACACATACTGTCCTGCGGTCTGGTGGCTGCGACCCTAAGTTAAGAAGTAAACCCTAGTATTAAGTGACCAATTAAAGGGCAGTATAACTGTATACACTTGGCCATGATGTTCCCCAAACATAAATATCTTACAGAATGAGATATAAGTATTTAAACTATTGCTGAATACTTTATTACAACCCCAATATTGTAGAACATGTGTACAACAGGACATGATAGTGAGAGGTACTCAAACACTCTTCTCAGGTGTGTCTCAGGCCAACAGGACATGATAGTGAGAGGTACTCAAACACCCTTCTGAGGTGTGTCTCAGGCCAACAGGACATGATAGTGAGAGGTACTCAAACCCTTCTGAGGTGTGTCTTAGGCCAACAGGACATGATAGTGAGAGGTACTCAAACACCCTTCTCAGGTGTGTCTCAGGCCAACAGGACATGATAGTGAGAGGTACTCAAACACCCTTCTCAGGTGTGTCTCAGGCCAACAGGACATGATAGTGAGAGGTACTCAAACACCCTTCTCAGGTGTCTCTCAGGCCAACAGGACATGATAGTGAGAGGTACTCAAACACCCTTCTCAGGTGTGTCCCAGGCCAACAGGACATGATAGTGGGGGTGCTCAAAGCACACCCTTCTCCGATTGTGTCTCAGGCCAACAAGGACCTTGCGATAGTGAGAGGTACTAAAACACCTTCTCAAGGTGTCTCTTCTGATAACAGGACATGATAGTGAGAGGTACTCAAACACCCTTCTCAGGTGTGTCTCAGACCAACAGGACATGATAGTGAGAGGTACTCAAACACCCTTCTCAGGTGTGTCTCAGGCCAACAGGACATGATAGTGTCGCGATCCCACTACTCTTTATACTTGGGGAGTGAATCCTACCCCAAGTTATTAACAAATAAAGGTACAAACAGGGAACACGGCAATAATTATCTCCACCAAATACCTACTCAACTAAATGTACTTGAAAAAGTAAGAACAGTTGAAATAAGTGAATTACAAAATGGAAGATAATTAATTAATTCAATTTATGTTCTAAAGGGAGTAATGCCTAGCAAACATGAATTTAAGTGAATAAGTAATTGTATAATAAAATAAGAGTGATGCCGGAAGGGCGAAACTATACTGTAAGGAGTTAGACCAAACAAATATTACTTAACATTACTATATTACACAAGACATACGAAATATATATATACAACAATCAATACAAAATGATTATCCCTACCAAACAGGAGATACCTTACCACCAGGATCCCTTCCTAGGCCTAACTAAACGTGTCACTAATACCTGATACCCCTAGGGCATTGCAGAAGACTTGATAAAGCACTTAGACAAAGGTCAAGGCTAGAGAACGAATAGACACGTCTAACTATGCCACGGATTTTCGCTACTGGGGAGCGTGGCGTGGGTACGCCGTGGAGGAGCGTCTCATATCACGTGATCTAGACATTTGCTGGATATTTTATATAATTAATTAATATTACTCTTGAGTTGACTTAACAGAGTAAGACAATGATGCATATAAATTACATACATAAATATACAATTAACCTAAGTAGCTAAGAACAATAATAATATAATAAGTACAATTAACAATTATTAGTAGCTTGCGTGAAATGGAAGCGTGAACAGATGCAGCGAGTTCCCGAGCGCCCAGGCTCGTGACAATAGTGAGAGGTACTCAAACACCCTTCTCAGGTGTGTCTCAGGCCAACAGGACATGATAGTGAGAGGTACTCAAACACCCTTCTCATGTGTGTCTCAGGCCAACAGGACATGATAGTGAGAGGTATTCAAACACCGTTCTCAGGTGTGTCTCAGGCCAACAGGACATGATAGTGAGAGGTACTCAAACACCCTTCTCATGTGTGTCTCAGGCCAACAGGACATGATAGTGAGAGGTACTCAAACACCCTTCTCAGGTGTGTCTCAGGCCAACAGGACATGATAGTGAGAGGTACTCAAACACCCTTCTCAGGTGTGTCTCAGGCCAACAGGACATGATGGTGGGAGGTACTCAAACACCCTTCTCAGGTGTGTCTCAGGCCAACCAGGACATGATAGTGAGAGGTACTCAAACACCCTTCTCAGGTGTGTCTCAGGCCAACAGGACATGATAGTGAGAGTGCTCAAACACCTTCTCAGGTGTGTCTCAGGCCAACAGGACATGATAGTGAGAGGTACTCAAACACCCTTCTCAGGTGTGTCTCAGGCCAACAGGACATGATAGTGAGAGGTACTCAAACACCCTTCTCATGTGTGTCTCAGGCCAACAGGACATGATAGTGAGAGGTACTCAAACACCCTTCTCATGTGTGTCTCAGGCCAACAGGACATGATAGTGAGAGGTACTCATCATTCAAGATGGACTTAATTGATAATAATATAATTGGTAGTTGATTATTATTTACTTTTAATATTATACGTAGTTATTGTTTAATAATTATTGCTGAATAATTATGTAGTTTTAGACTAATAGACTAATAGTTACCGTTAATAATATTATTTATGAATAGTTAAAATAGCGAGTTTATTATGGTGTTTTAAGCTTATATATTGTGTTATATATTAATAAAATATTAATGAATAATTTTAAAATAGTTAAACAATAAATGTTATTGTTTTAATTTATTTTAGTGTTTTTGTGAATGTTGTCACGCCATTCGGTTCTCCAGCCACTGACTTAAGTTTAGTTTAATATTAATATATATCTAATAGCGGGAATTTAATGAATAATAAAACATTATAATTAAAGTATAATTTATTTATATTATGTATCATTTATAAATAAAATGCTTTTATTATAGTATTAATAATAAAAACTTGTAGTTAGTGAAAGATAAGAGAGAGAATCGGACAAGGTGAAGCTGGTCAAGGTGGCGTCCCGTTTATTGTTGTTAATTTGTAGTAAATGTTAATTTGTGGTCCTTCCTCCCTCCCTCGTGGTGAGTTAACATTATGTATGGCCGTGTTAACTAGACACAGTACAGTAGAACATAAGAATGGCGGGGCAGTCCACCCAGCCCCTATTGCTCATATAAACATCCAACCTATGGTTGAACTAGGTCCATCTGGGACCAACTAGGCCCATCTGGGACCAACTAGGCCCATCTGGGACCAACTAGGACCATCTGGGACCAACTAGGCCCATCTGGGACCAACTAGGCCCATCTGGGACCAACTAGGCCCATCTGGGACCAACTAGGCCCATCTGGGACCAACTAGGCCCATCTGGGACCAACTAGGCCCATCTGGGACCAACTAGGTCCATCTGGGCCCAACTAGGCCCATCTGGGCCCAACTAGGCCCATCTGGGACTAACTAGGCCCATCTGGGCCCAACTAGGCCCATCTGGGACTAACTAGGTGCGGTGTAGGCATATGGTGCAGGTATATAGTGTGTTTATGGTGCAGGTGTGTGGTGTAGGTATATGGTGCAGGTATATTGTATGTTTGTGGTGCAGGTGTGTGGTGTAGGTATATGGTGCAGGTATAGTGTGTGTTTGTGGTGCAGGTATATAGTGTGTTTAAGGTGCAGGTGTGTGGTGTAGGTATATGGAGCAGGTATAGTGTGTGTTATTGGTGCAGGTATATAGTGTGTTTGTGGTGCAGGTGTGTAATGTGTTTATGGTGCAGGTGTGTGGTATAGGTATATGGTACAGGTATAGTGTGTGTGTGTTTGTGGTGCAGGTATATAGTGTGTTTATGGTGCAGGTGTGTGGTATAGGTATATGGTGCAGGTATAGTGTGTGTTATTGGTGCAGGTATATAGTGAGTTTATGGTGCAGGTGTGTGGTGTAGGTATATGGTGCAGGTATAGTGTGTGTTATTGGTGCAGGTATATAGTGTGTTTATGGTGCAGGTGTGTGGTGTAGGTATATGGTGCAGGTATAGTGTGTGTTTGTGGTGCAGGTATATAGTGTGTTTATGGTGCAGGTGTGTGGTGTAGGTATACGGTGCAGGTATATAGTGTGTTTATGGTGCAGGAGTGTGGTGTAGGTATTAATTAACAGGTAGACGGTGAAGGCAAGTGGACCAATAACTGCTGCTGCTTATTAATGTAAACTACTGGAGGAAATTGTCAATGGAACAATGTTAAGGAAATAGGTTGATAGTTTGAGGTATTTTATTACTTTCCTGTTGAGTATTTGTTACTTTTACATTTGATAAGTTTTGTTACTTGTGGAGTTTGTTACTTTTACGTTTGATAAGTTTTGTTACTTGTGGTGTTTACATCACTTTACGTTTGGGAATTGTTACTTTTCTGTAGTTTATTACTTTTAGGATAATTTTATGATAATTTTGTCAAGTTACTTTTGTTATATTATAGTGGACACTGTTTGTGGTAATGTTAGTAAATGGATGTTTTTTAAATAAACGCTACTTAACATTTGTGGTTATGAAGGACAGACCTAACCAAACAAACCTACCTCACCTAACTTCTCCGGTATATTAAACAGAAAAAACTTACTATACGGTGATATTTGAGACATTTTCTGGACGTGAGATGATACAGCAGCATCGGCACTATGGCGGGTTAGTCCTATATATTAACCAAGGTGGGATTTTGGGTCATTTTTATTTTGGGAAAGATTTTTTTATTTGATCTAAGTAAAAAAATTTGGTTATAAGAATGTGGTACTTTATATTTATGGCTAAATTTCTGTTTGTAGTAAAATATTAGCTTTTGAGACATTTTGGGAACTTTACTGTAGAGTTGCAGTATATATTTTGACAAGAAATTTACATTTTGTCACTGTATTTGGTGGGATCCTAACCTAACCAAATCGTGTGAACGATGGTGAGGTTTTAATTCTCGGGGAAAATATCAATTTGGTGGGATTCAAACCTAACCTAACCAAATCATGTCTTCGATGGTATTTTAATTCTCTGGGAAAGGAAAAATCGCAAGACGCTTCACAATATCGGCGTTTATAGATAATTAAACCCTTATGGCAGTGGGATATAACTTGTGAATTTACCAGGTGTTATCCATTAGTGACTAGTAAGTGGTATTAAGAAAGTTGTTGACCAGAGTTAACTTGTGGTCCTTCTGCAGCTCTTCACAGTCTGCTTGGCTCTTGATTTCCCGAAATAATTTGGCGTCATTTGCAACATTTTTATGGAGGAGTGTACAATGTCAGGCATGTCATTATGAAACAAACAAACAACAGCTGGCCCAATACACTGCCCTGTGGTACCCCACTTGTGACAGGTACGGATGACGATTTCGTGCCATGAATCGCCACACACTGCTTGCAGTCATGTAGAAAGTCTTCTACCCACGCGAGGACATTTCCTCTAATTCTGTACCCTTCCAGTTTGATTTTCAGCCTTCTTCGGGTACACTGTCGAAAGACTTGGTAAAATCTAGGTAAATATTGTCTATATTACCACCTGTTCCAGAATATGGGTCCAAATATCCAGTACCTTGAGCAATTGTGTTAAGCAGGAGCGCCCCGGCATAAAACCATGTTGGCAATCCTTTACAAGGTTGTTTCGTCTCCAACATGTTGGAACAAAAAATTATCTGAGTTTCTACAAAAAGAGTAACAGGGTTATTTTGTTTACAGTGTACGGCTCCAATTGGTTGTTACTGTAGTGTTAAGACAACTATCATATTGCTGCCTCGCTGATCGTGGTTAATGAAGTTCCTCGTGTCATTCGTCGAGGTAAGATTTTCTAAAGTGTTTCATTATTTTCTTTAATAAGTTTTATGGAAATGTCTTAATTTAACCATAATATTGTATTTAAATGCTTAAAGATTTAATGAGTTCCTCTATAATATAATACTGTACAGTACTGTATACTTATTATATAATATTAGTGCCCAGAGTATTTAATTTATTAGTTGCTAAAATGTTATTAATTCCAGGAAGGTGACGTGAAGATGTAAGATATGGGCCACAAGACGAAGGTTTGTTTTGGTTAACGGGTCTCTTGCTGCACCACATTGGAAACTTTCTGTTATAACCTAAGGTACAGTACAGTGTATATCTTTGTGGTTTTAGTTTTTATTAAGGACCTGGGATCACCGTTTAAAAATTCAAGTGAACCCTCACTTTACGCGGTCAATTGAACCCACGGCGGCCCGCGTAAAGTGAACAACATAACATATGGGATTAATTGAAATAGAGACCGGGCCGACCCCCAAACTCCACTTTTTCAGACACAATACCTACGTTGTAGTAAAAATAACATCTTAATTTTATGATGGTATGCACACACAATTAATAATTAAGAGAAATATCAAATAATATTAGGTTTTTTAACACTTACATTAATGGAAGAGATGGCTGGGCACACGGGGATGGGAGGTTGGTTCCGAGGCAGAGGGCAGATTATTGGCCCTCACCCGTGTCACTTGTATCAATTGTATCACTATCCACCACAGAGGCTTGCAGGGCCTCTTTGTCAAACCCCTCAAAGTCCATATAAGTCCATATCCTCACTATCATTATCACTTACTTGGGCCGGCTGTGGTGTGTGGCGGGCGAAGAACTCGGTAATGTTTTGATGACTGGGCGACCTTGTGCGCACCCTGCTCGCGCCTCTCTCCACGTAAAAGGGTACACACACCGCGGAAAGTGAGCATTCCGTGTTCGGCAGGGTACCACGTAAACGTGGAAACGCGTAATGTGGGACCGCGTAAAGCGAGGGTTGACTGTAATTGTGTTAATGACCTTTGAAATAATTAGATATTTAAAGTAGATTACTTAGGCTTTGCCCGTATTTTTTAAAAGGCCTTCATATACGTTTTAAAAATAATATAGACTATTGGGGTGTCGACTGCATGGAAAAGCCAGGAAACTTTACAAACAAATGGGGTAATTTATTTGGGTTAAGTTATACTTAAATATAGTTGTTTTGCATCAATCTTGGCATAAATTAATGCTGTACTGTATAATAGGTAAATAATTACTGTACTTTTAGGAACATTCCACAGCAATAATGATGATAGTTCAAGTTAGTGATCAAATATTACAGGTTATACCTACTGCCGTGAGTATTGTCCAGTGAATTGTTCGTATAATGGACTTGTTCCACATTAATAAAGGTTCAAATAGGTGGATAGTGGAGTGTTGACCCATGTCAGGTTAAGGTTGTCACCAGGGAGGGTCGCTAAAATATCCTCAGTGGCCCCTCCATTAACCGACACAGTTGGTTCCATGGAGTCGTTCGTTAACTGAATCTATATTCTGTAGTGTTATATATTAATAAAATATTAATAAATAAACTTAAAATAGTTCAACACAAAATTTTATTGTTTAAATTTATTTAGTAAAATTGTAAATGTTGTCAAGCTATTCGGTTCTCCAGTCACTGACTTTAGTTTAGTTTAATATTAATATATAT